AGCGCCTCCTCCGCCGCCATGTTGCAAGGGGGCGGCTGCGGGAGCGCCCACACGCCCCGCGCCGCCCCCGGCCTCGGGTACACCTTAAACATCAAAACAACCACTAAATATTTGCATAGACAAAGAAACTTCTCTAATATAAACTCCGATTTAAACAAGAATAGAGTAGTATAGTGAATTTTTTTGGGGAAGTCTTAACCTCATTTTAGTTTAAAAAGACTTCGGCGCCATTAAACTTTTAAGAAAATGTAAAACTAACCACATCTAAAATATTAATATTACGAAATAATGCTGGTGAAATGACATTAGGTACCATACCTTCGCTTACAAATCATAGGTATTCCACAAACCGCATTCCTTAACCAGACGGTTTTGTTTTCCTTAAAAATGATTAACATGACGAGGAAAATTACGGCCATAGAGTATTGGTAGAATATAAAAATTTTATATTATGCTTAACAACGAAAAACATGAATCATCTTTGATAACGAAAGACAGTAAAACGTTAAATGTCTGAAGGTAAAGGTTGCTGCAACAATTTTATACAAGGAACCCCTGTATTTCTTGGTTCTGATGTATAATGTTTCATATTCATGGCTATACCTGTAATATTTGTATAGCACAGATTATTGATAGACTAGCAACGCCGCACTGCGGTTAAACAGCCGCATAACGTGTTTTTGTATCCGTTTACATTACTTCGATAAGTTTTTTTTCTATACTGTGCAAATTATTTTTTAGAGACATGGGTGTACTAATATTATAAAGAAGAAAAATTTGTATTTTGTAGATATTAAAATAACTCAAAAACTAATTGGCCGATTCTAATAATTCTTTCACCGTTAGAAAGATAATTTATCTGGGAATGACATAGTCTATATTTTTAATTTCACGCCGCCGAAATCGCTAGCAACAGCTAGTTTTAAATAAATTTATCGTCATTACCCTTACCTTTTGTACCTATTTACCGCATTCAGTACTTTCTATAAAATTGTTAGTTTCAAAATAAAATTCCAGTCAATCCATTCTTTATTAGATACCATTGCTATTTCTACGAATGACAAGTATGATGAAAAAATAAAGCATAAAAAATCAAATTCACACCAGCGTCGTATCTAATCCTAGAAAACTACGTTCTACATCAGTGTGGGTGTAGAGATAGACGGTTTGATATTACGACTAATTCCATAATTGCCCACACAACGGTACAACTAAGTGGAAACGGAAATTAAATACTGTAGAGGAACATAATTATTATATTATCTATGACTATAAGTTACTTTTAATTTTACGCTAATTCGTTAAAATAACTGATTCATTCAAAAAGAGTAAGTAATCATACCAAATATAAATTAAATAATGTTTTAAGATTAAAGTAGGGTCTAAAACCCATAGCAATAGATCACCATAGGTTTCTTTATGGATTGATTTTATGTTAACAGCCTAAATTGGTATTACAGAACATGCATTTACATTTCTTTTCATAACTTTCATGCCATGCAATCGATTGCTGTGAAAATTGATATCGTAAATCTGTACTAAATATTGCCAAGATTCTATTGTTTGACCCAGTACTTTCATGTCATCTTCATTCTTTGATCTACTTAAATTATACTCTTTTGTGTAACCAATACCTTGCTATTCACGGCGAGGCCGACGCCGCCCGCCGCCGAACCTGTATTCTCTCCGTCCGCCACGGCCACTGCACCTTTACACCAACAATCGAAACTCCTCTAGACCTACAGCATAAACAGAATTCACAAATCTTATAGCAGTTAAGAACGTCCACTTGCAGCGACAAACAAATGCTACTGTCCTTCTATTGATTGTTAACTCTATGGGCATGCGCTGTGCTGTCTCTTAAAGCGCCGTATTCAAATTATTGGACACTATAAAAGCCCCCGCAGACTAGAAACTTTTAATTGCCTGATAGTTAATCAGTATGAACATGTGACGATTAAATATCTAGTCTAAGGGGATCTGATACAAGTCATAAAAAGTACGCGATTTGAGGTTGGAATTTGGAATGTAATATTAAGGGGACTTACCACTGGATGTTTGAAATCCTACGATACGTCGAAAATAAAACCATAGTTTTTTCTCACTTGTCTCGTCTTGAGTAGTTCACAGGAAATGTATCCGGTTTATGGCGTGAACGTTAGTCTGATTTAAAAACAACTTAGTTGTTTATTGCGTGTCTAAGCAGTTACAATGATTTATTTAACATATTCAACTAACAACTGTAATGTAACCTGGATGAGATTGCAACAAACTTTTTATAATTGCACATTTATTTTGGCAGTCAATACAATATCAGCATTTATTTATATATTGTATGTGAAAGAGATATAGCAATATGGATACGTCAATACGTGTGTCACTAAAGAATTTAAAGGATCGTGGAATGCAATTAGAAATACCATTATCATTACAAGATATAAAGTATGTTCGCCAGCGTGAATGAAATCGCACGACGTGTTAACAATGAGTCACTTTCTAAGATCATAAGTGCGGTAATTGATATAGGTACCTACGTGCATTACCACGGTTAAATAACCACTTCTACCTTGTAGTGTGGAGGTTAGAGGACTTCGTTCTAACATCGAATCTCAAGTCGATATTAAACAATACATTTCTAAATAAAATATCCTCTAATCTACGTTTAATTTACGTGACAATATTTTGTATAGAAGCGCAAAAGTTTGCGGTTTTTTGACCGACTTCCCAAAAAATACTCAATTCGTCTGTATGTTTTTTTTAGATCTTCCCGTTGTGTTTCAATTTACAATCCACTGTATTATGTTGAAACTGTGATCGCGTGTTGTAAAGTGAGTGCATTAAATCGGAAGTAAATTTTCAATGGCTACGTGTTGAAGTGAAAACATTGGACGCATTCTAAATTGATTTATAATGACAAAATAAATGTTTTCTAAAACCTAAATTAATATCTCTAAAAATCCGTTTACACGCTTCAAGTTTATTGCTCCGTTGCTTAAATTTTATTGTATGCCACGTATAAATAGGCCTTAACATATGTAAAGTGTAAACTATAGTTACTTTGTAGTACCTTTGCATTTTTTTTGGTTTGGAGCCCGGCGTTATATTAAGTTTTTATTACGCAGAGAATTGTTACAAATTGTATACGCAAGTATCCACATTATCAATTTTTAACATATTTAACAAAAATTAAGTTTTCTATTATTCAATGTTATAAATTTCGCGTCTGCGTTATTATTTTAGTATTTAGACCGGAGATAAAACGGGTCAAGGAGTCAGGAATACGAATGTTTTAGATATCTGCCTTGAATTCTTCATTAAAGTAACTATTGTATGTAACAGTGCGGCGATGATTTACAAAGCGATACTCTAACCCAGATTGTTGCTATCTCGTGACGTAATTACATCACCGTATTTGAAATAAGGTTGCTTACGAGAACAGATTGTAAGTTATATCGAAATATTCTTAAATTACGAAACTAAACTTAATCTCACGTCACTCGTAAGTTGCATACAGGTAAATAACCTCGCGGGAGTTTTATTTTTACACCTTTTGACAATTTTCACGAGCGAAAATAAATTTAACATTTGTAGAAACTGATGCAATATGAATTAGTTTGTTTATTAAAGCTTCTTTTCTAATATTTGAAACAATTTTAAATAATATGTAAAATAATTTGGGTGTTTTAAATTCTTTTTGTGTAAATTTTGTCCGTGTAAACAAATGTATTTAAATCCGAATTTGGTTGGTTCAAATTATGAAAAAAATCAAATTTAAAATTTATAAAAATCATTTTTAATGATTATAAATTGATAAATGTTAGTGACAATATACCATAAAATTATTGCTTCATAAAACAAAATAAATATTTATACAAATTTTGGACAACATCAAAAAACCGAGACTTAATTTTACAATTGTATAGTGCATCAAATCCAAAATAATATTATTACTTTTAATATTTGCCTCACTTGTTCAATTTCATTATACACATATAGACATGTAAAAACAAACAAAAGTTTTAATCTCTAGTTATAAAAATATACAAAGTAAATTATATCAATTTTGAAATACATGCCTATTAGATACAAATAAAAATATTTAAAAATTTTCTATTAAAAAATTTACTAGGGTGCAATTCAATGTAAAATTAAACAGGAGCTATTTATAATTAAATACAGGCAGTGTGTAATAATACAAACATCTGCTATCATTCCAATAGTTCACTTATGATGTCAGTCTTACATCAACACATGCAAGCTATTTGAATAAAACAAACCGCACCTCAATATAACCCCAAGTAGAAAATACCCCATACAAGTTGACAATATAAAGACACATTAAAATTGTGAAAATGAACTTTAATTCAGCAAATTTTATACTAAATGTATAAATATGATATAATCTAGATTTAGTTTTCACTACCTAAATAGACATCATGTTATAAAAAGTGTACAACTAAGTCTAATAGCTGATTAAACATCTCATTGTGGCTTAAAATAATTAGATCTTGTAGAAGCACATTCTTTATAAAGGTTTATTATACTTAAATAATAAAAAAATAATCAAAGCACATAGCTCACAACTGATGTTGAAGTCCAAATAACATACATCATTACATATCTTAAAATCCTAGAAAACTTGAAACATTTAACGAGCAAACTGAATAAATTATTATTCATAATAAGAAACAAACTTAACAATGTTGATAGCTCAAAGTAATATAATATTTTTAACAAGAGTCAACAGACTTCACAAACAGTAAGTGCACTCCGGCTCCATCCAAGCTCCAAACTATTTCATTTTGTATCAAATGATGCCAATCAACGGTAAAGAATTCAATCATTTTGTCTATTTATTACTGTATTGATATTGTTAATTGTATAAGGCCTCAATTTGCGACATTATCTCTTTTGCGTTTTGAAACTAATGGATAGAGGCTGGCCGTTGAGGATGTAACCATTCAGGCTTTGTATGGCCATCGCCGCCTGATCATAATTTCTCATTGTTACAAAACCAAAGCCTTTGCTTTTATTAGTTTGATGATCCTTAATTATCTTAACCGATACAATAGCACCATATGGACCGAATAATTGCCATAAAGTCAATTCTTCTACTTCAGGAGCAATATTATAAATATAAATAGACCATGTACTCGGGGAGTTGTGGTCTCCTAAGGCGCTCATGTGATTAATCCAATGATAAGGCTTCACTAATGGGTTTTTTGTAAAATTATTGTTATTATTTTTATATTTGTTTGGATTACTCTTATTAGCATACTTAACAGTTAATGGATGCATAAATCCAGGCGGAGTGGTGGCATGGATACTCTGGATGGCTCTCTCAGCCTCATATTGGTGTTCATACAATACAAAAGCTATGCCAGCGGCAATACGAGAATTGACTATTTTACCAAATTGTGCGAAAAGTCCATGTAAATCCTGCAAGGTCAGTTCATTAGGTAAATTACATACATAGAGGTTCCAGTCCGCTTCCGGTTTCGACGGTGGTTTTAACTCTGGATTGAGCAGCGCGTGTGACACCTTCAGAGTCTTGTTCTGCATCAAGAGACCATTGAAAGCCTTACGAGCTTTGACTGCATCTTCAGGACAAGTATACTCGACGAAACCATACCCTCTGTTCGCTATCAATTTACAACTTTCTAATTTACCCATGGTTGAAAAAAGTGAGAACATCATATCCTGCGTCATAACTTCAGGAATGTAATTGACGATAAGCTTCGTTGGTGATTCGTCAGGGCCATATTCGTTATTTCCATGACAATTACCGTCTTGACACGATTCCGACATTTTTTAATTGTTGTCGCCGTATGACATTTGGCATAAGCATTGCCACTTTCTGTATTACGTTCCGAAACATGATATAACTTTCATAAACTGTCTACTTGTGGAAATAAAATAATGATTAAAACTTGCAAACGTGAGATTAAAAAAGATGTAAAAACTAAATAATGTTATAAATATTTCATTATGTTAGAAATGTGCATGAATGTATATGCGCAAGAATTTTATAATATTCGTGTATCGGTTGTGATAACGGTTCTTGGTGCCATAAGCCTTATCTGGTTCCATGGGCAATGGTACTAGTCATTTTGTATTTTTCCATATAATTTTAAAGAAATATACTTTACAGTAGAAGTAGAACCAAAGTAGAACTGCGATAATAGCGCCAGTAAAGAGCTTGCGGGACAAGTCTAACGATAACGACAGATATTACTTATGACACTGGCGCCGACGGCGCCACCTACTTGGACCTTCCAGCTTCTCTCATTATGTTAGGATGATGTTCTATTATAACTAACGTAAATAAGTTTTAAAATCACAAATCTTCATCAATCAATCTTATTTTATAGGAAAAAGTTTAGGAATAGAACACGTTTTACGGTTTTTTTTTTTGGGGAAATTATACACACACATGTAATGCTGTCATAAAATTTATTGCCTTAAACTTTTAATACATAAATACATGATTTTTTTGTAATTTCAATACATATACACATTTGATTACACAGCGTAGATTTGCTACACATTTTGTCAACTGACAGTCACTTCATACACTTGCAAGCTAAGCTACGAAAACCAGAGCTAGAAATACGATTTAACAATTTTTGTTGCGTTACAATTGAGAATGATAGAGCATGGCGTTATAAGATAATAAGCACAATAAATAGTAATAAAGCTTGATACATATTTTAAAGCGAATTTTAACGAGTTCGTCAATTTACTTAAAAACTTACTAATTATTCAATTATTTAGATGGTAACATATCGTTTCTTAACTTTGGTGAAATGTTAAGGTACTATTGGATTACAAACTGTGTTCATAAATATTTCAAACTTCATAATAGAAGTAACATTTAAATAATAACATATTTTCAAATAATACAATATTATTCGTATGTGCGTATTAAAGTGTCAAGTTTTTACAACAGAGGGTTATCCTGAACATTCGTGACCTTATCAAAAAAATTGTATTAGATTTCTGCAGCGTAAACACTACCAAATCTCCTATAAAGTCGATGCTTTACGAACAAGATCTCGTATCTATCCCGCAAATATTCAAGATAGACCCTCTGTTGTTTGTCTTACGTCGCATTATACGACATCGGTAATTTGGTAAATAAATGACATTTGATTGTAAAACGATCAACTTCGATTAAAGTTTTCAATTATACTATAACAGACTTTTTATGTTAATCATGTTTTGTATTATCATTTTGTTTATATTTGCATACACTTATTTCGAATTTGTCTATACTTATTTCGAAAATAACTACAGATAGAAGAGAATAAATATTATTTAAATATTTGTACGCGAAAGCTAGAAATACATATTTTAACTGTACGGCTTGATTTTAAAACTCTTCTAAACTTTTATAAGTTTACAGTAAAATATACTATTTATTTAAATATGAAATTCTGAGTAGATAAAATTCATTTATCTATTAGTTATCATAAATTATTCAAATATTAAAATAAAAAAAATACGTCAAGTATTCCATTTACTATTACTGTTTTAATAATTGTGCCATCATCTATATTTCGAAACATTTGTAAGTCAAAGTAGTTTTAATTCAGCGACAGATTAAATAATTTATCTATGATTATTCAAACGCTTTAAAAGCACTCAAGACAACAAAAATTATCGCTAATAAAAAAAAATCACATACATTTGCGTAAATAAAAATTATCATATCACAGTAATCGTTACTTACATCAAAATATTAACAAAAATATGTTTATAAAAATAAAAAAAATCTTTAACATTCACTTTGGATCAGAATTAACTCGTACGTCTTATTGCGAAGCGTCAACTAATGTTATGTTTATAATTTAGTTAAATATTAAATATATGACTAATATTGTATGTTATATATTAAATTTGTAATACTTTAATAGGGTTCACCTAAAAAATAAATTCTGTATGAGTACATATTGAATCTACACCTACCAGCTATGCGTAAAATCTCAATTATAAACTAAATAAAATTATTGTCATTGTACCATTTGCTAGGGATTCTGTTTGTCTTTGGTTACTCTATGGTGTTTGTAGAATATTATCTATGCTTGCGTAAGTACCGAAGGCGAAACCGGACACACCGAATACTATAATTAGAACATCTTTCCACAGTATCCAGTCGTCTTTGCCGAGCCGGTCTGGCCAAAACGTTATTATCTCGATGAATGGCGGGAAAATTATTGCCAGAGCGGAACTACTGAACGCACCCACTAAGGAAATGATCCCACTTAGATTAGGTATGATAGCCGCCAACACAACTGTAAAAGATATAATCATTTAATAAATACAACATTTATAATTCCGATCCTCGGATATTAATATCACATATAATGAAATACGAGTGTCTGTTTGTAATATCAAATAAAAAAAATTGGGATTTCGGGAAGATAATGTCTTTGCGTTGCTAATGAAAATCGCATTTAATTTTTTTTGTCTGTCTGTCCGTATGCCGGGTATTATTCCTTGTAATCTCCGAAACGGCTGAGCAGATTTCGACCGGACTCACTGAAGGGTAACTGACAGACGGGCATATTTTAGGTTGCTTTTTTATCTTAATATTGCGTGGATGAGTCGCGGGCAACAGCTAGTGCTAAATAAAAACTGTTTAATTTACAAGCTATGTTATTGTATAATGATGTGTATAGAAACACGTGTACAAACACTTTGTTATGTACTTTATCAAAGAAATTGTAAGGTATTAGTACAGGTGATTCGGTAAATGTTATAGGAACAAAGAAGTATATTGTCTATAAAAATAATGTGCTTGTAGAGAATATGACGTATTAAAAAGACCTTAAAATCTATCAAAACAAAGGTCAACGACACTAACATTGGGTTCTTGCGATTATGTACTCTAACCACAGATTCAGAAAACGTAAGCACATTGACCCGACTTACTCAAATGATGAAAGTTTTAAAAAGATGCGAAGTTTGAATCTATACTTATATTTAAAAGAGGAATGAATTGTATTTTTGTACAGTATTGAAATAGCTCAAAAACTACTGGGTCGATTTAAAAAATTCTTGCACCCTTAAGTTATATTTTAAAGGAGTTACATACTTTTTCTTTTTTTTTAATTTCACGCGGCCGAAGTCGCGAGCAACTGCTAGTGGTGGATATAAACAATACGTCCCGTTAGCTGTGTAATTTAACTAGTTGTTCTTCAACTTGGAACGAAGTCAATGCGTTGATTACTGAAACGAGACGACCTACATAGTACCGGTGAAAGTACACCAAAATGGTCCTTAACTATTCATATCTTAGCTAACGAGCGATTAAACCCTTACTATTGTTAAAAACATATCAAGCAGATAATAATTGATTTTATTTTAGAACATTTTAAAAATGTATACTGGTTTAATTAATGAACCCTACACTTTATTATACCACTAGCTGTTCCCGTGCGGCTTCCTTCGCATATATTTTATTGTTTACATTTGTCAAATTATCATTGCAAATATCGTAATGACATGACATGATGACAAACCATGGCAACCTTGCGTCCTTGATGTTGGCAGCAACTTATGGTCTCTTTCCCACATTAGGGTTTTTATCCAAAATATTTACCTCCTAAGTTTAATGGCGTGAAATTATAAAAATAATTATTCAAAAATATGGTATATGCTGACATCTTAGGCAACAAAGAAGTGTGTGTTTACGCTTTATTATAGTAGTATATATTAATGTCTTTTGGGTATCTATTGTAAAGTGTGTCTTAAAATTGCTTGCAGTTTGAAATATAGTTGCATGCATACGTGGGCATGAGAGGCCTTGAAACTACGAGTACAATGCCAGCCAAAATCAATACCAGTGACGCCAGCCTCCATTAAAATGCATGTCTTATCTCCCTACATTATTATAAAAAGTCATTTAGTTTTGCATTACGATGCTATTCGATATAAATTCTATGATTCTGATATTTAATTTTTGTAAGCGAGAATATCTCTCTCTATTTTGTATTTGACTAATAATGTGTGTAAAGTTATCTAAATCTTAACAGCTCGTTAGCAAGTTAAACGTCTTATACTGGGTTGCTCAAGTTAGCATTTATTTTATCATCAAAATCAAATTTCAAACGAGTAAAACTCAAGTTATCTAGTTCAAGAATTTATCCAACCAAAACACTAATAAATGGTTACACATATCTGGGAGACTTCACTGAATAAATATTCAATTTATATGCGAAAACGTTTTATGGTACGAGGAAACGAATTATCGGCATGACATGGATCGGTAATTAAATGTCATTCGATAAGAGCGTTATTGTCATCTGCGGACAGGAATGCCATTAGCAAATTACGAGATACGCCCCCGACATGATAAACGATTGTTAGCTTTTTAACTATTTTGATGTATTCTGTATCCTTGAAGGTTATTTAGTCTGTGCTATAAATCAATACCATTTGTCATAATTTGAAATAACGATATAAGCTTTGTAATTGTGTTCCAATACATGATTTAAATATTTATGTCATGGTTTTAAAGTATCGGAATTCTGCTTGTTATGTTAATAATCGGACAATAGACAGATGTCCAAAATAAGGGTGTTGCACTGGCTCGACGACACGACGGCCATATTGGTAGTGGCGAGCGTTGATACATTGAAAAACAGTGTCATTGGTTAGGTTATTCTGTGCGAATTGAAAACATAAGTGGTAAAGAGGACTATATTTTATTAAAGCATAACTTGGCTGTGACGCCCATACGATGTTTTAGCTATTGGTTGGCAAACATTCTCCGTTTCACTCTTTAGTTCTTACGTTAATCGAAATGATAATATATTTACTTGCTATGGTTCTATCTGACAGTGGTAAAAAGTACTTTATAGTCTGTACTTATAAATACTTAAAATTATATGTATCTCCAAATTTAATTCACATCTAGTCATTATCTATACTTAATATTATAAAGAAGATTTGTATTTTTTGTATGTATGTAAATAACTCAAAAACTACTGGGCCGATTTCAAATATTCTTTTACCATTAGAAAGGTAATTTATCTTAGAGTAACATAGGCTATTTCTTTTATTATTTTTAATTTCACGGGGAAGAAGTCGCGTGCAACAGCTAGTAATTGATAAAACAGTCATAAAGATAACCTTTCGAGTCAAGTTATTACATATTTAGGACAATTAACGATTCTTGCTTCAGATTGATAGTTCAATAGCAATGATTTAAGCAAAATAACGACGTGGTAAAACCATTGTTTATAAAAAATATTCTTGGAAACACTGCGAATTCGTACTGACAAAATTATCACATGAAACATGTGTTTTGTGTTAACGATAAAAATTTTTTTTCGGTCAACTGACAAAAATACTCTCATACCAATAATAGAAGTGTTAAGGTAAATAAAGGGTCGTATGCTTATATGTCCCCACTGAGGTACTAGGAGCCTACTCTAGGCTAGACTAGACTAGACTAACGTAGATGCCACGGCCCGAGTGAGACTAGACTAACGTAGATGCCACGGGTCGAGTGGGCGAAGAACACTGCGAGGTTTAGTGGGTAGTCCGGAAGAAATGTAGGTCGGGAGTCCCACAAGATACTTCTGCTTCTTCTGTCCCTTCTGCCTCCACAGCACGGATGGTGCAGTGCGTAAATGCATTCCCCACGACAAAAAAAAGACTAGACTAGACTGACCATAGTCAACCACGACCACGATACCCCAATGGCTTTTCATTGAATAAGGGCTGTTTGATTTTTTTTTTCATTATAATTTTCAATAATAATAACAACCACATTAACCCCAGACAATTTAACGTAATGGGTAAATTGACCTTCAAATTTTAAGTGTTTAGTCATACATCTATCGCAAAATGTTTACCAACAGAACATTTATGATGCTGTAATTTTCTAATTTATTGCGTGAAATAAAACTGATGACGTAACTGGCAGACAATAAACCTAAGCAACAAAATAAGTCGGTACATTAACTTAATGGAAGTTGTGTGTATTTCATAAACATACATGCAATGTATTTCTATTATTATAACGTTTAGTTTGGTATAGAAGTCTTGGTTGGTAACAAATTTCAACTTTGTTTATAATTTCTAGACTATGACCTATAATGAAAGCAGAAATTTTGATTTGGAAATTGTATAAATTCGAATGGAAATTATTGAGATGAAATCTTATCTTATTAATATTATAAATACTAATTTTGATGGATGTTTATTAAAGTTGGTAAACGACTGATCGGATCTCGATAAAATTTGGCATAGATGTAGAATATAGTCTGAAAGAACGCATAGGTTACTTACTTTTGTTTTTTTTTTAATTCCACACAGACAGAGTCACGGGCGAAAGTTAGTAAATCAATAAACTTACATGTGATAAAAACCATAATGACTCTTGTCGCAGCTTCGCCGTGTTTCAGAGCATAATCCGATGTCAATTTAGATTTTACGTACGGCCATACAATATTCATGGGCACATAGAACTGTAATCCGAACGACAAGAAAATGGAAAAGGCCATCACGGCTCGTACGCTTTGTGCCAACCTAAAAAAATAAACGTGAAATAAAATAAACAGATTATATAAATAGGGCTTCCTAATCTCTTGGGTTTGCTGTTTTATTGTGTTACGAATAGGTAAACATATACAATGTAACTGCTTGTTCTCTAAACTACTGATGCATGAGTTTCAATTCATCCAGAAGTTAGTGACAAAACTGCACATTTTTAGCTAAAACTCAGAATGTACGATTGTTTTCTGATTGAACCCTTTTTCTCACATACTTTAACATCAGCTATACAACAATAGAATTTGACTTTATTGTAAAATTCTTAAAAACTGTGATATGATCCTTTCAATAGAAATGAAGAACAATTATCTTGGACTGTCTTATTGTGAGTTTTTATTCTATAAGCATCTAGAATGTGTACTTACAAATCATCCGGTAGGTTTAACGTTATACTGCCGTGTACGTGGTTCCCATACTTTAGGTATCCAAAGAATCCGATAGAAGCGTACAGCACGGCGACTATCACCATGCCCGTATTCAGCACTCCGTTCCACCCTCCAAAAGCCTCTGGTGTCTTCATATTATTCTCTAAAGGCAACACCTAAAAACAATCTTGATATATAAAATTTAATGATGAATGTAGGTTTCTCGTATTAAACCTAAAATAGACTAGGTAAAGATATTAGTGGTAGTGCCCGCTTTAACATCTTAGCACGAATTGGCCGGCACGCCCGGTGTAATACTACGACCACACATAAGACAGGCGTGAAATGGAAGCAATTCCGTGTTTCGTCTGCTGAGTGTGGTGCCGGAGGCCTAATTTAAGTCCCTTTCTCTTTATCACCCTTTTCTTATAAAGAGAGGTTGGGAAGGGGGAGTGGATTTGACAGTGGAGGAGATGCATAGGAAGGGGAAATATCCTCTTTATGTGCGTCTCCTCCTCCGTCGTATAAGGGTAGGCAACGCATCTGCAATTGCGGATGTCTATGGGCAGCGGTAGCTTTGCCATTTTGGCGATTTTAGGTGGCCACTTGCTCGTTTGCCACCTTAGTTATAAAAAAAATATTAAATACTATAGTTAGTATAATCATATTATAGGCAAAAAATACAAGGTCACAGTCAAACTTACGACGTACTTTTGTGACGCTTTTCGAAATTTACATAATTTTTCAAATAAACATTTATAAGAACGTATTAAATATTCTAATAGATATTTTCGAAATGAACACCATCGTATTTATTAGTCAAGTTTTATTAAACGAGTTATACAAGTTTTGTAGCGAATTCCAAAATTTGTAATCGTTTTGGTTTTTTATTGTTAACTCCTATATTTGTTTATAAATAATGAAACTTATATATGAGACCTTGTGATCTACGCAATCTAGATCAGAATCTAGGCCATTTAAACATAATATGCGATATATCGCATCATTAAACGCATTAACACGCTACACAAATTACATCGAATTTTAATTCATACGCCTCCTAATCTTGGCATTCCACTTGCGAAAAAATCTATACACTTAGTTTCCACACTTAGTACATATTTAGTTTCCTTTCAAAGAGATACATATTTATACAAGTTTTTCGATATGTGAAAGCTACAGTTAAAGTACAATCAACTCACCATTCCAATGCCTTCAAATGCAAAGATAGCTGTCCCAAAGTATAGAGGTAACTGATGCCAGCTCGCAAACGCTCTCACAGTACTGGTGTGTGGTAAATTTTGTAGTATATAGTAGAATGTGACCATCAGACCCCAAGCTGTCATTATAGAAGCGACCAATGACACTGGAGTGAGGTATTTCAAGTTCTTCACCATAGCTAATGCCAAGAAACATGGGAACAGCAACATTAAATACGTGTGTACGCTCAGGTTTATGTGAAATATTTCCAAAGTATCCTGTAGATTGGTCGCAACAAATAAAAAGTAAACACAACAGAATCCCAATTGTGTTATCACCAAAAATATATTTACGACATTCCTGAAACAAACGTAATAAGATAAAGTATACTTGGAACCAAAAGAAAGTATTTAAAATTGCAATATCTTTTTTTTTCAAGGTATAGATTAAAATAAATTTATAATAATATTATAAAGAGGAAAGATTTGTATTTTTGGATTTGTTGTATGTATAGAAATAACTCCAAAAACTACTGTGCCGATTTCATAAAATTCTTGCATAATCAAAAATCTATATTATCACTTGAACGAAGTTGCGACCAGCAGGTACTAAATATTAAAAGTTTTATGCTTTGTAATCTTTGATCAATAACAATTATATTTTCTTGAAGTTTGTGCTTGCATACAATATTTTAAGAGAAATTGGAACTTTATAAGTGTACTATTAAATTTGACGCCACATATACTAATTGTCGTTATCGTGTCACATCGCATCGGTCATTAGGAAGTGATTTATGGAGACAGAAATTACAGCGTTTATTGCCCTGATAAGTAAGCTATCGTAAATTATTATTGTATAATTTGCTATATGTATCAATTGTGCGGAAAGTTTTATTAAATAATCGCGTAAAATTTATATGCCTTTATAATTATGCAGAGCAGTGCATATTGTAATAAAAAGTGTTCAATAATATACCTTCAACTCGTTAACCTATAATGCAAATATGATATTGTCGTTTTGTAAATTCCGGCAACACATTTCTATCTTATGTACTAGCTGTTGCCCACGACTATCCACGAGGATTTAAAAAATAAGCTACATACGTGCTGTTCCAGACTATGATCTAAATCTATGACAAATTTCAGCGAAATCCATTGTGTTGTTTTGGAAATATGTAGTAACAAACATCCATCCATCTAAACTATTGCATTTATAATACGAGAAGTTACTGTTAGGTTCTCAAACGATTTAGGTCGGAGTTTAGATTTGACGGGGTATAAAGTTTTCTAGTAAATAAGTCTCGCATGTTATTTACACGAGAGTCTAGCTATTGGTTAACTACTCAAATATTAATTAAATAAAACTAGCAATGCAGCTCTTATCTCTGAATTAATTACATTCACACCGCAATCTGTTTCAGTCAACATCAATACGATTGATAATTGAACAGTTCAAATGCAAACAAAATATTTTCCACTCATTATTTAGGTTGTATAAAATCTTCCACAAACAATTATTTTATCTACAACAAAAAGCGTGTGAATTGAACTTTGTAACATCGATTTTTATTTGATCTAATATTAATCAATCATTTTTTATATTTGCATTGCCTGACTTTAAGTCAATATCGATAATGTCGTATCGATTTTAATTAACTAACCCAATGATTCACCGAATCCTTACAAATTGGGGCCCATCAAAAAAAGTTTAATAAAAAAGGGCCGGTGTAGTGGTCAACCGGTGTTAGGTTTAAAAATTAAACATGTAACAGATATACAAGACAAATCTATCTACAGGGTCGTTGACCTAGGAAAAAAATACGCAAAAAGGCGTCCGGAAATAGAATACGTACTGTAACGGCTACCTTAGTCATTTTGTTTTGTTGGTACAAACTTCGATTTTTAATGTTTACAGTTATAGTGCTCTTAAGTATTAATGGTCAAAGGACCCAAATTTTACAGTTTTCTCAAGTATTAATGATCAGTGGAGCCCTGTATCGTATATCAACAAATATCTATCGGCCTTTTGTGGATACTGATACAAAAAAGCAATACTATTTCCAAACGATATATGTGCATTTAATCCCAATTCGAATTATCCTCTTTCTCGGAATTGAACAAAATAACGTATTTAATTACGAAATTTGTTCAGTATAGCATCAGAGATAGGTAGATACGTATTAACTTTCAACATATTGATTTTTTAATAGATTAAGCTGATTTAAAAAAAAATTAATTGAGTAAAAATATTATGAATTATTTCAATCATTATGATACAAGGAAATCGTTAAATTTGTCACAGAAATTTTTTAATGAAGCTAAAATATATTTATTGTTTACCACAGTTCAGAAGTTAATTAGATTATGAATGTGGCAAAAAATAGGGTAATCACTTTACTAAGTATGCAGCCTCAGATAAATAAACATATTATGTAATAATGGAAATGAGTATAATTTTTTTATCAATAACAAGTTAGTAATTAATATCTATTTTTCATAATGACAAAAAAATTATCAAGATATTTTTATTCAATACTTACTTCATTCTTTGTGAATGCGGTCGTAATGCTACTGGGCCCATAGCAAATGCATCTTCAACAACTTCCGCGAAACCCATCGCTGGTCTTTGATTTCTTACACAAAGCTCGTTGGCGCAACGAACTAATATATGCATACAATGTGTGCAGATAAATCCCATAAACAATGTACCAAAAACACCTAAAAACAATACACATAATAAGACCAATTTTAAAATAGTTTGTTATTTTAAATTTACTTTATAATGTCCAATTTAAATGATTCTTTACATTGATTTGTGAAACACGCAATGTGTACAACATAAGTGCGGCTGTTTTTAATTTATTATAATAACTTATACCATTGATATTTATATCTTTTATTTTTTATATCATATAAATATTATTTAATTTTACCTACCAAAAAATAATCCCGCATTTTTAAAGGCGTCGGGCATCGCTAAGATACCCGTACCAATATTCCCTTTAAGTAGGTGAATCATTGTATCGAAGTTCGATGTGGGATGTTCCAGGTGCCTTTCAGACGCAGGATGGTACACATTTTTCGCCTTTTCATCCTTTGGAGTAAGGATAGGTCCAGTCGCTAATTCTACTGTTTGAATTTCATTATTATCTAGGGGACTGTTTGGTCCTATGAGTAGCGGTTGTTTTTCGTCGTTCATTTTTATGGCCGTCAAAATCAATTAAAGATACTCATTACTCTCAGAGACTCTTATCACATCATAAAAATTTATCAACTTTCTTTTAACGAGAAAATAACACTAACCACGATCGACAATTCGCAATCGACGACGTCTGACGTGACATGAAACGTCTTCTCCTGTCGCGAGTGCAAATGCGATGGCGCGATGTCGATTTTCCGATACTATACGAGCCGAGCCGATCTAGCCGAGATGCTAATCGATTCGTTATGTTGGTAGTCTAAAAAGTGGAATCAGTATAAGGTTAATACTTTACAATGTAAATATAAAAGCTGGATTAAAAAAATAGAAGGAGGTGGAAGATTCAATCGACATATGGATATAGTAATTGGGATTTTTCATTCATATGAGCCAATCTGGAATATTCATCGATAAAGGCTTACAAGATCCCTTTTGCTCTCATTCAACTTAAAAATCTATGTTTGTCAATGTCAACCAAATGCCAACTGTCATTGTGAAGTCGATCAAAATAAAACTTAAATTATTTGCATAGTTATAATGGTTTAATCTTTATAAAATAATGTAGATATTTAAAATAATGTAGCATTTATGTTTTGCACGAAGAAAACTTCCATTTGACGACTATCTACAAAAATTATATACATGGTTTCATAATACCCATCGTAAATCAGTACAAGGTTTTCTTGTCAAGTATTCATTGTCATTAAAATGGGTAATGCGGGAAGTAATCAAGCTAAAGAATGGCATAAGGATAATATATCTAAGCAACTTGACGCGCCATCATCGCCGAGTAAAGAGGGAGAAGCTTTTACATTTGATAAACGGATTGACGATGATCCAATCGGCCGTGATGATGATAACAACATTGAAGACGGAGCTCCATACTATACGAAGGCAGTTCCTGAAAGTAACGTGGAATATCAAGAATCATCTGATCTACCAACTTCACTAACCGACAGTAGTAATATAGTAGATGATATCAAAGTTTTACCAACAGTATTTAAATGGGAAGGTGGAGGAAAGCAGGTAAATTTAACACTATAAGTGCTATTTATTAACTATAAATAGTTATTTATTATTTTTGGTTGTCAGATGTTAAGCAGAAATTGTATAGGATATAAAAGTAATTACCATACTAATAAGATTGTTTAAAAGTACATCTTAAGTGTTTAAACAATTAATCATTGGTTGATTGTTCCTTTTACGAAAGTCTATTCCTCTAGTTTTGTGTGGTCATAAAGACATCATTGAGTTTGCTATATTTTTAGGACTTAAAAATAAAAAAGATTACCTTAAAAATAAAGTATCACCTGTATATCATATTTTAGGTTTACATTAGTGGTACATTTACGGACTGGAAGACTATTCCTATGGTAAAATCTCATGGAGACTTTGTCACTATAATTGATTTACCAGAAGGGGAACATCAGTATAAGTATTTTGTTGATGGTGAATGGCGTCATGACCCCACTGTGGTATGTATTTTAAAGATATAACTTGACTGAATATAACATTTAACATGTTAAAATATACAAATAGTTCCTTTCCGCACATTAGAAAGTAATTTAAAAAAAGGTGATTGAAGTCCTTAGGACAGGATTCTTTTATTCTTAGTTAGGTCATATTGAATAAGAAAAAAATGATTTCTTAACCTACTGATTTTTTTATTCTGTCTAACATTATCTGTGAACTTCTTTTATCTTGTCTTGTGTAAATTTAGTCAAGTGGAAATAATGATTATATCAACAAAAGATTTCATTTAATTATGATCTAATTTCTCTTTACAGAAAGTTATAGATAATGGTATGGGTTCTAAAAATAATTTAGTGACTGTGAAAATGTCTGACTTTGAAGTATTTCAAGCATTAGCCAAAGATAGTGAGGGAATTCACAGCGGTGCACAAACTGAATATTCACAGGTATTGGTTTTTATTATAATTGTTTATGTTAAAAATTTCCAGATGGTTATGTAAAAATGGTTATAAAAAACAGGCCTTGGCATGTTGGTAGCAATGAACATTATTAAATACTAGCTTCCGCCCGCGACTCTGTCCGCGAGGAATTAAAAGAAACAAAAGTGAGTAGTCTATCTGTTCTTCCAGACTATCCTCTACATCTATACAAATTTTTATCAAAATCCAGTCAGCCGTTTAGGCTACAAACTCTAATAAACATACATCTAAACTTTTGCATTTATAATATTAGTATGAAGTATGATAACCAAATTATTACTGTGATGTGATTCTATATTTGAACAAGTTTTATATCTTTGACTATTCTTTCATGTTCATAGATTAAGTTTTATTTTATGATTTAGAAATGTAAAATATGTTTATTTTGAATAATCCAATGTACAAATTTAATCAACATTTTTGTTTTTCAGGAGATACCACAATCTAAGCCGTGGGAGAAAGTGACTGGTCCTCCAATATTACCACCTCATCTTTTACAAGTTATTTTAAACAAGGACACGCCACTCTCGGTAATTTAAATTTATATTATTTACTAAATAATGCAACACCTCAAGTACTAAAATATATAAAATAATTAATTTTTTTTGGGTGCTAATTCACTTTTCAGTTTCCTTCTCTGTAATTTATATTTTTGTATTGCATTACTTCATTTAATAACTGTCTCTCGCCATTATATAAAAAAAAAAGAATCCAATGTGTTCTTCCAGACAATATTCTATATCTGTGCCAAATTTCAGCGATATGCTCAATACAGAGTAAAATCCACCCATCTAAACTATTTAACATTAAGTTTATTTTAAATTTGTTTCAGTGTGAGCCCACATTGTTACCTGAACCGAATCATGTCATGTTAAACCATCTTTATGCATTATCTATCAAAGATGGCGTTATGGTGCTATCCGCTACTCATCGTTATAGGAAGAAATATGTCACAACATTGCTGTATAAGCCTATATAAATAGTAAAAATCCCAGTTTACATTATTCCAGTCCAGTAATGAAAGCCAGTGTTGGATTGAAACTAAATGTAAATACATGGTACTTGGTTAATTCCAGTGTGTTTAGATTTTTCCAATTGGACAGTGCTGGATTTGTTTGCTGGATTGTAATGATGTAAATAAGGGCATTTAGATATTTATGCTTGGTGTAATGTTAATTTATTGTTGGTTTCACAATTTAATATAGTCGGAAAAGTAACAAGAAGCAATAGGTAGTATGTATATAATCATGGATGTAATAACTGAAGTACTGTTGTAATGTTTAATGTGATTATGTAAATTGTATAGAAATAAGTGTTTTCTTGAATTTGCTAGCTTTGTTATATGCCTTGTGCAATATTTGACATAATTTATTATTTCATTTCATTAGAAAATAGGAAATTAATAGATAACAATTAGCGTTTTAATTGCATTCAATTTTATTTATTACGTTTTTAAATCGAATTGATTTCAATGTGATGATGGAATGATCTTTTAAAGTGGCCTTAAATAAATAGTGAAAATTAACAACAAATGTTTCGTCTTTTTTTTACAATATTCATAAAATAACCCTAGTAAATAAAATATTTACGTTTAAACACTATTTGGGGAAATGCCGAAAACACGTGATGCACGTGAAAATTGAAGTGCATAAAACAATTATAATGAAGAATTATTTCATAAAATATAATAATCAACTACTATTTTTTAATAAGCCTATTGAGACTATAAATTGGAATTATATTAGTATGCATTAAGATAAAATAAAAATAAATTTTAATTTGAATACATATATTAATACATAAAGTATGAAAAAAAAAACACTTGTATCTAGTCGAATTCAAAAGAAATGAGAAATTATAACAAACTAAAAGTTTTTTACCTAGACATCTTTGTGTCATCAATTTATAGCCCAACAGCCTTTCAAATAAACGCGGTATAAAGTTAAAATTTGGAATAAACTAACTATAATCAAATGTTAGTAGAAATTGCTTATACTCAGTTTAATCCTAAGTTTAACTTTATACCGTGTTTATTTGTAAGGTTGTAAAACTTACAAAAATAATCTCATAGAATGTGAGGAAATATAATTTCTCATTTTCATTGAATCTGAGTATACACTCTTATATGATCCCGAGTTTCCTGCTGCTGAAACAACCATACATTTATCATCCTTATGATATTTTTCAAAACAGATAGTAAAATGTTTTTGTACAATGAAAATTCTCACTAAATTAAGTCCCACACATTGGGGACTTAGGACAATAAGAATACTCTCAGTTTAACAAGAACATAAGGACTAATTAATTATTTAACGGCTATTACTCATATCTATGATGATCTATGACTAGTTTCGGACCCATCGGGGTCCATCTTCAAGTCGAGTGTCCTTAGGGTTGTTTCTAAACTAGTCGGTATCGCCACCGGAAATAGACGTAAGTAATAACTTTTAAATAATTAGTTATAACAATGTCTTAATATTTATATAATTTAACATAAGGATTGTTGTTGACAATGAAGGTTTAGAGCGGGTTTTAAATTATTTATTATACAGTTTCCTCGGAGGCAGCTGGTAGATGAAACGGTAAAGGCTTACCAGGGCAAGCACGACCATCAGCAATGAAGATACGAAGAAGAAATACAGTTTCCTTACTTTAAAAATCTAGTAGGTATATATTATAACATTTATATTTTCTACTATTCAATATGGCTTCACACACTATAATTACTGGTTAGTTGATAAACATTAAATACAATACTGGGTACATCTGTGACTTAATTTGGTGACATCTTATAATTTTTATGAGATTACTTAAGAGTAATAAATCTACAATGTAAATTTCCATATTACAGCTTTGGCTTTTTCATAATACATTAAATTTAAAAATTGATAAACATCATTAATACCTTTGACACTCACAGGTAATTTTCTTGAGCCATTTTAAGCGCTTTGTTGCAAAAATAATATTTTCTTCTACCAGTCAACAAGTGTATTTATTAAAAATTATTTACGCCCTTCACATTAACTTTTACTATGTAAATTTTGACATTTCTTTGAGCAATTTAGCGTAAAAAGGGTAGAAAATTTTCATTTCACATAATAGGTAAAAATATTTTAGTCAGTCACAATTTCTAAAAGGGGTTGTTTATCTTTATCATTTGAGATATTTGTATTATTTACTGGATTCTTAAAATACATCGCCACCGCAATACTGACCAGACATATTGATAAAATGGTAAATCCTGTTATAACAATATGGAACAGAATATAACAAACAACAGCAGTTATTATTAGTTCTAATGCACTCGCATATGTCTTTAAAATGGAATTTAAATTCTTCAAGAAGAAACTAGTTACTATACCAACTATTGCACTATTAACAGTTATTAAAAATACAGTTATATCTTTCAAAGATTCCATGTCGTTAAAAATACTGCCCAATTCACCTTTGTACATTAAAATAAATAAATTACATATAACAGAATCGAGATACATGAAAACATTTTGTAAAAATATATCAACATTAGAACCTTTGGTTTTCAATAAATATTCATTATAAGTACCGGCTAAACAGGAACAGAAATTTTGAAAATTAATTGATAGAAAGTAAATATTAAATATTTGATGCCACATATCTGTACCCTCGTCCGATTTGACTGTTGCCGCATCAAAATTTTTAATCATACATCCCAATGTCAATATGACTAGGGAGATCCATTGCATTGATGTCAACTTCTTGTTAAACAGGAACTGAAATAAAGTACACATTACATTAGAAGACATATGAGAAAATTATAACCTACTAGTTTTTTCTTGCGACTTTGTTAACGCACAAACAAAGTTGTAAAAAACAGTCTATGTTACTAAGAGATAGTTCTATAGGTAAGAGTATTTTTTAAATAGTTACATTTTTTAATTTATTTGTTACATACAAAAATACAAATACAAATCATAATAGATTTAATTTATTGAACATGGTTGTGTCACATTCTACTTATTTTTTTTATCCATGCAGAATTAATTCTGTATGTTATCATAATATAGGTTGAAAAGTCTTTCAAAGTCAATCACATTAATTGGAGAAATAAAATATTAATTGCAATTAAGACTTATTTACTATTTAATTATTGTTACCATCACTTAGGGATGTCTATGTTTATAAAATGCAAGCTTGTAACATGCAGTATATTAAATTCACATTATTTCCCTATACAATTAACAGAACTTACCTGAAATAGTAATGCAGTGAGGACAACCCTAAATTGCAGGAGAATATAATATGATGTTGGGTCATAATGGGATAAGTTAATAAATGCCAAGTTGTTGTAAAAACAATACAATAAAGATGGAATGAAATATAGCAAAAGAAGTTTGTAGTTGATGGCAATTGCTTTAAATATATTTGGCTTGTTTCTGAAACAAAAAATATTAAATACAGATCACAATTTCAAAGTAGATAGCTAAATATTACTTTTCTAATGGAAAGAAGATTTTTTCTTATGAGATATTGTAAGAAATATAGGTATAAGTATGGAGTATCTTTTTTTTATTGAATGGGTCCGTTTTAGATAATTTCAGGTATACTGTTAACATTTATAATGATATAGAGCATATGAGATATTTAAGCTTGTTTATATCCAAATAAAAATCTGGAGTAGTGAATTTGCCTATGATTTCATAATTAGCCGAGCATTATTCATACAGTTGACAATAATAGAAAAAAAATATGTCAATAGGAAAGATAATACCACTGCCTTTATGATAACACTATTGGTATGAATGACTGTAACATTTATTAAATGTCTATATAACACATGTGGCACATTTAATGGCAGTACAGCAGTTTTAAATTCCAAAATATTTTTATAACATCTCATTCTCAAAGTGAGTACATACCGACGCCACGACGGAATAAAATGGTTATTCGCTATTGCTACTATTTTAATGTTTTTGCATTTTCGGCATCTATGGCTAGTAACACACCTATTGATTTTTTTTTAGATTTTTTGACAGAAAATTCATAAAGTGTTAACAATTTTTATTTTTATTCTCCGGAAATCATGTATCAAATTCTTCCCGTAAAAACATAGTAGTCGTTCATTATGGAACGAACGCTTATCGCGAGAAAAGGCATTATTCACGTAAATAAATTGATTTCTGCATATTACGATGAACTCTCTAAGCACATTTATACAAAAACAAAGTTGTTATATAGCTATACGAAAATAAGACACTGGTAGCTTTTACAAGAACAAAATATTGTAATCCTTTATTGCAATTACCATTCATTCATGAAAATACTGTAGACTGAGACTCAAATATTAAATCAGTATTATACTTCCTTTGTAATAACTTTAAAAGTATACATTATATATTTTTTTTATTATAGCTACTTATTAAGAAAAAAATACTGAAAAAATAATGTATTGTGTTAATATAAGCCGGTAAGTTTATGAGCTAAAACAGAATAACAGTTTATTAACAAAAGTAAATTTTGCAGGACTGCTCGTCCTATTACGTTTTTATTCCCTGGGGGCGTCGATACATAAATAGTTTTGAAGAGCTGATTAGTTTTTGAAAGTAAAAAACAAAGACTATGAAAAATCAATGATTTACATGCAGATTGACAAAATAAAAAAAAAATGTATCCTATTACTATTTTGTTAAAATACAATAAAATAGCTCTGTAAACTGAAGATTTTGGATTTTATATTAATTAACACAAATATTATAATGTATTTAAATAAAAAAGTACTTACTCTCTTTTTAATGTGTACAATGTGGCTGATATAATTAATTTTAGAAATTCTGAAAGGAATACGACAAGCGTAGTGTTGTAGTCGTATCCACCATTTTCAGTTTTCGATGCAGTCACAAAAACACCTGAAACAGGCAAATAAAATATTTACGTAAAATGTTTTCATAAGTTAACTCTCTATAAACACCTTAGGTCATTTCAACTGTTATTTACGTAAGTGAAATTTGTATGCACATACCTTGAAATACAAATAAAATTATGTACAAGCAAAAAACAATAAATGCTGCTTTATTAGGGAACAGTTTTTTAAATTCTTTCATTTTTATACAGGGAAATTTTGTAGATAAGTAATAAATTTTTGTTTAGTTTTCAGTGGATTTTTTCCGTTAATTACATCTTATTTTCACGAGAAATTAACAACACAACTCACTGGAGAACTATAATAAAATAAAACACAATTTACGTTTAGTACGTTCCGTAACAAACTGACAACCTGACAATATGTCAAACTCAAATGTCAATAATCAATAAATCGCCTTACGCAAAAGTCACAATCAGGGTTGCTACTTAAGTACTTTAATTTTATTACCAAAGGTTTTGTTTTACTAATTAACTCTCGCAAATAACTAATTAAAATTATATGTTTTCTTCGGAAATATACTTATGAGAGCTTCGCAAGTATTCGGGATATATTAAGAGATTTTTCTTAAATCCTTTTCGAGTTCTCATTTGGCATTTGAAATGAGGTCTTATTTAAATATTGGTAGGAATTAAATTGTTGTAGAAATTAAATCTAAAGCTACAGTACGTCAGAAAGTTGACAAATGTCAATTTTGGGAAAAATCTTATATTTGTGACTTCTGTTTGCGAAAACAAAATCCCAATAATTTTATTGGTACAACAAAGCTTTAAAACTTAGTGTTAGTCATAGTTTGCAAATAAAAATAACAATGCGTATGTAGTATGGTTAGCTGCTTATAACAAGTGATACTGAAGTTCTTTCACTTGTGTATCGAACAAAATTGGTATAGTTGTACTATACCTTAATATAAACACTATGGCAGGCGACGAAGATGATAACACATGGTAAATATGTCCCAAATATGAATATACATAGAATTAGCACTCACATTAATGTATCACTATGCATAAGTTTATGGTATGGCTTATCTAAGTCCAATTTGTTAATCTCTTGTGAAATTTCATGAGACCAGGAAGAGTGGGAATGTAGAAAATTGACTGATTGAACTGATTCCACTTATTTAATGTAATTTTTTAATAACAAGTGAAAATGTAGTTAACCACTTTTAGTATTGAGTCTCAACATATCTTGAATATTAAAAATGTACAATGCACTTAGACTGGTTGTATCATATGTAATAAATAACAACAGCTAGAATTGATAAAAAATCAAATCTGATTGGTTTCTGATTGAATAAAATATTTGATAAACAATTTTTCCGAACCTTGTCAGTTTAAAATGTTTTTGGTGTTTCAGTGTCTATGATTAGAGTATGAAAGTTGTATGAGCCAAGTTTCTCAATTTAAATTACTTTTCTTTATGGAGGACATGAACCTCAGCAATCTATACTTAGTAACAATGTATGAAAACATGGGAATTTTCAAATTTTCATTTCAATTTCAATTTCAAACATTATCAAATTATGATTTTTTTAAAAGCTAAAAGTATTCTTTTTTCTTTTATTTAGTGCTGGTTTTAAAAAAAGTTGTTCGTTATTTTAGGCTTATTGAATTGGAATCTGCATTATTAGATGGATGTTCACCGCAGGAAATCAATGTTATTACAAAAGGCAAAAAGATTCCAGATAGCCTTCGTCCTGATGTTTGGCTTGTATGTCTAAATTGTCAAGATGGTGTTAACCAATTACTACTTTTTGATGAAATATTTGATTTACCAAATCAAAATGAACTACGAGATGATGTTAAGAAGTTTGTTCAAAGATTAGATAATGAAGATGAAGAGAAACTTGCAGTGATATCAGATATAGAGTCTATAATAACATTTTATTGTAAATCAAAGTCAATTTCGTATTCTTCAACTAATGGTTGGATTGAAATTCTGTATCCATTATTAAGTTTGAAATTACCAAGGTCTGATACATACAATTTGTTTGAAAAAATAATAAAACTGTACATTCCTAAAGGCTGTATAACGAATGGTGTCCCCTTTCATATTTTACGATTGGTTTTACAATATCATGATCCAGAATTATGTTCCTTTTTGGATACAAAACGAATTACACCCGAACAGTATTGTTTACCATGGTTAAGATCGCTGTTTGCTGGTACCTGTAATTTAGAGGTAGTTCTTTTTATGTGGGATCTATATTTTCAAAGATCAGACCCATTTTTCATCTTTTTTCTCTGCCTTATAATGATTGTGAATGCAAGAGAGCAGTTACTTCAAATGAAAACTGAGGAAAAATCCACTATTATAAGAACATTAGTAGGCATGCCTGGTGACTTGGAAGCCAATGACGTGTCGGACTTCTGTTCTTTAGCACATTATTATTCATTGAAAACCCCACAATCGTTCCGTGAGGATGTTTTAGAAGTACTATTTTCAGAAAGTGGTTTAGAAATCAATTCGAAACTTTATTCCCAAGCTCTTTGTCTTCCTGTTGCTGTGCATGAATTAATTGAGAGCGCTACAGTAGATGCGGCAGATGCGGACAGTGTAAAATTTTTCTTGGTGGATTGTAGACCAGCAGAGCAGTACAATGCGGGCCATTTATCTACTGCTTTTCATCTAGACTGTAATCTGATGTTGCAAGAACCGAATGCTTTTAATACAGCGGTACAGGGCTTACTGAACGCACAACGACATGCATTAGCGGCTGGCTCCCTCGCTGCCGGTGAACATTTGTGCTTCGTCGGCTCAGGTAGAACCGAAGAAGATAGCTACGCACATATGGTTGTTGCGTCATTCCTAAAGAAAAATACCAAACATGTGTCGATGCTTGATGGTGGGTTTGTAGCGATCCACGACTACTTCGGTCCTCATATGACTGATTGTCTGGAAGAACATAACGTTTCGACATGTCTTGTGTGTGCTCCGAATAATAATAATGTCAATAATGAGCCTCGAAAAACGAAAGTCCGTGAAAATGTACCAGCTATACAACTTTTTAGTAAATTATCATCGGCGATGAAAGCAAAGAGTCAAGAGGTTAAGGGGAAACTAATCGAATATATTGTTAATCCGAACGCGACTGTTAATAATGGAGAATGGCATGTTTCTGCCAATGATCGTAAAGATCACAGATACAGAAACGTTCCCCCCGTCTTCAGTATAAACGATGAAGATGACGATTCACATTCCGATTCACGAAGAGATATTATGAGTACAGATTCATTAGAAGAAGTAGTCGAACTTCAAACATTCCTGAAGTTACAGAATGTTATAGATAACTTTCAATGTCAAGAAGTTTTACTTAACGGTTACATGTTTGATTCCTATTTGATAGTCACAGATACACACTTGATTATATTACGTGAAATTCCAAACAAACGTGGCTTTGCGAAAATATTATCGCGAAGACCGCTTTCTACGATTGTAAAAATAACTGCCAAGAAGCGACATCCAGAGCTAATAACATTCAAGTATGGGATACCAAATGGCGATGACCTACTTATAAAAGATATGGATCGTTTTCTTATACCAAACGCGTCCGTAGCGACTAAAGTCGTCTCTAATCAGATCGTACAACAGCTAGATAATAAAAATCAGTAATTAGATACCTTTTTCATGATAAGACATCGAATTGAGTCATTATCTTTTAAATGTCGATTACATTTGTAGTATGGAAACGTTATTTAGGGTAAAAATAAATATAAACATTATTTCTTAATGAAGATCTAACACATGCATAGAAATATGTCCATAATTCGAATAATTTAAATATTTATTAGAATTTTAACACAGATTTATTTAAATTTATTTAAATCTACAGCAAAATATTGACTTACTCTATAGAGAAACATACACTACGCTATTCCAATCTTTTTTTTTAAATTATCATTGTTTTGCACTATTTCTAGTAAAGATAAAATGGTGTTAAAGCCATAACAATTATATGAAAAGCATGTAGAATTTATGCGGCAATAGTGTTCCAATTACCGCTACGTTGAATTTTATTTTTAGATTTACTTCGTAGTATTGCATCAAAGCCGTTTCAATATGAATATTATCTTTAGTGTATCAACTGTTTTAAAAAAAGTATAAATAAAATATTTCTATGTTGCACAGTACATAAATATGATAAGAACATCGAATCACAGATAATACAATACTATTAGTAGATTTTTTTTATTAAAATGTGTATTTGTTACAAATAATCACAGCTTCAGTGTTCAATAACTTTTGTCTATAGAATAAGATCGCCGGTAATAGACATTAGATGATACGTGCATTTGCGAAACGCACAAAATCTAACTTGCCATGAATGTTTTATAAAATTTAATAAATAGAATTGAATTAAATGTGGCATAAAGAGGCATTTTAATAGTACCTGCTTCCTATTTAATTTTTATCAGTACTTTAATTAATAAATTTCATTTTTCCTAATTAAAATCCTATATTTTCGTTTCGTATTCCTAATTCAAGTATTATCTTAAGATTAAAAAAAAAGATTTTATTTTATAAAAATAACAATATTTGATCTCTGATTTATATAAATTACGGATATTGAACATTTGTTAATTTTAAAATTAACCTACGTTTCCAATTATAAATTATTCCAAGAATTTTTCAATTAGATTACCGTCTTATAAAGCTTTATCAATTATTAAAATATGTATTTGTAATAAGTGACAACACGAATGTTTTATAATTATGTAGATATGCACATTTTGTATTTTCAATTATATCCGACCACTTTTTATAAGTATAGTGTTTAATATAATGAACATTTATGTTGTGATACAAACATTACTTAAAACATAGTGTTATTAGAGTTGTTATAAGTTCTTTTAATTACCATTGATGTTATATTTATTTAATTCCAATAAAGTTATAAGATAAAACGCTTTTTTTTATTTTATTTTAAACCCTTCGTTGGTACCTAATGGAGTTCGTGGGTCGATTAATAAAATACAGGCCACTGATGAAAAACTTTAAAAACATATCTCTTTCGTTCTATTTATAAAAATAGAGACAGCAATACGCTTTAATGCAAGGATTTCGACAGCAGAAATTATGGTAAGGAATAAAACGATTTCTTTGAAGTATTGGAATATTTTATTACCCGGAAATCTAAAGAGGCTTAAAAACTATAAGATCGTAAAGATTAAGAAAACATTTTCATATAGTTGGAAAGTTATATGGTACTTCAGTATGTCTGTACATAGATTAGTAAATTTTTATTTAAAGCAATTAGGATACAAGTATTTTAACAGTTATTTTAACCTGAACCTGTATAAGATGACATTTATTAATTTATTTTAGGATATAAAAATGATCATAATTCTCAACAGAAATATGGTACTAAAACACGACAAATGTTACCATAAATATGTGCTTTATGAAATGAAAATTAATTTGTGAGAATTAAAAAAAATACTTAATAACAAGGAAAAAAGGTAGGTTAGTACGCGGCTTATTAACCCGCCGTTTGCATCTATTTGCTACCTTTTAGGTTATTTTTAAGAAGGGTTTTTGTTAGTTGTTGCAGTCATCTCGGCATTTTTTTTGTAATTAGAATACCGCGAATATTTACGACTGTACAACAATTGTATTGCAATGAATTCTTAAAAAACCATACAGTATGGTTTGTAAGTACAATAATTTTAATGGGATTTTACAAAACGAAAGTTCAATTTTATTAGTCTTGTAATAATTATTATTAAAGGAACATTTTTTTCTAAATGAATTTATATGTGAGTATGCCGTCTGATTACATTTAAACATGTATCCAAAACACAATTCTTAAATGAGATGGAAAACGACAAAAGCTATACACAATTCTTATAATAAAGTCACATCCCCTTAATATTATTTGATCCCAAGTAACAAAGAGTTAGGTAAGTCCAGTTTGATTTTTACATTTATAATACACGGGATCTTCAAGCTATTAATTTATTTCATTATAGATATGTTTTTTTACAACTTATTATAAAGGAATTCTCCCAGGCAACATTGATATGTTTAGGTTTTGGCGATTTCGATAAAATCTAGGCACAATAATGTTTAAGGTCGTCACAATATAATATTTTGACAGTGAATAAGGTTTAAACCACGAAAACATCGATACAATATGTGTATCTCTATATTTTTGTTTCAAAGTGGATTTTAGGGATTTGAAAAAAGACAGGAGGCAAAGGAACTAAATTACTACATTGTGACAACCCTAATGACTTTGGAAAGCCGCTAAAATTAACTTAATATAATAATATTTATTACAATAATTACATTGGATTAAATTTCTTAATTAACTGAACATTTTATTTTACATTCGATAAACGATTTTTGGAATAGTAGTCTTAACTTCCAGTTTAAATTTAAAAATTAAAAGAACAATTCTAAAAGAATGCTAAAAAACAAAAAGTAATAGACACAACGTTGAATACAAAAAAAACATCCCATATAACATTAACTAACGGTTGTGTTAAATATCAAAGTTAGAAGAAAATGTGTAAACAACCAATATATAATTCTATATCATAAAATAACAAAGCATTTATGGCAAACAATTCGAACTTAATCCTTCAGCAGTATAACATTAAAATGATATTTATATTTTATCACAGCCCAATAATTAATTTGATTTAAAATATTTATAAAACAGCTGTCAAACAATTGTTTTGAGGCTTATAAAAGGTATGGAAAGAATGACGTGTGAAAGAGACAAACTATTGGCTTTTGATATGCTGGAACCTGCTTTCATCGTGTCATTTGATTCTTGAGAATAAGTTGATGGTTTTATTAAATCCACTGAAAAAAAAAACGTAGGATTTTTAAGGTTTTCAACAATAACTGCCAGATAGTTTTTATTTATTACAGTAAAAATATCAATGAAAATTAAAAATGCACATGAGAAACGTAATTGAAAATACGCCAATGAAAAGATTGAGGAAAATGACAATAAGGAAAACATTAAGTACATTGGAATAATAGATCTAGTAAAAAGGTTTTTAATTCAATATGGGCTATCATTACCCGTGGTTTATTACAATACTCACCAATTACTGTATCATTTCTGACATCCGCGAATTTGTCATCAATACTTCTGAACTCAGGAATAGTGCTTACACAGGTCACCTCTAGTCTTCCCGTTGCTAGCAGTTGTATTTCAGACACCGATACATACAGATCCCGACCACGGCTCGGTCTTCTACCTCTGTGGCGACTGATCGTTCTATTCTCGTTCGTTTCTTCAAGATTATGCACTAATTCAATCTGTAAAGTTAAACGTTTATTTAAATAGACGTAACTTTATGTTTATAATTATTTTAAAGGCTATTCTTCACGATATAAGTCTGTAATGGATTAAAATGTTTGTAGATATCAAAATTGCCGTGGGAACAAGTTATTGAGTCGATTAATAGTCACTTAAGCAGTCCTTTAGTGTAGATTTCCCATACTGAAACTATAACTTGGGTTTTTTCAAAACTAAATAAGCTGTAAGTGCCCATTAAACGACTACCTAAATAAGTTCAAAGTTTAAAGATGCTTGTACAAGTGACTGCCTTGAGTTATTTTAAACTTTATTACATTTTTAAAATTCCTTGTAGCGTACTGGCAAACGGAGTACTGCTGAGGTCAGATGGCTGGGGAATTGTAAAGATAGGATCGTTGGGTAGTACAACAATCTTGTACGAGACGTATCGCTCTGTCTTTGGATAGCATTTGAATAAAACGACCCTTTAGAGAATACATCGTGTATTGGTGGCTCACATGAATTCAAGATTTACAGTTGAATAAAATGTTTTACTTTTTGCCCACGAAATTTTAAAATATTTCAGATATATTAGATTGTTGGATTCAAACAAAGTTAGGAAAATATACGTGGGTTATAGTTAGACAATTTTAAAAGAAAAATCACTTTAAAATTCTGTTCTATTTATCTGAATGTTTTTTTTAAAAGATTTATGTCAGAAATATGAGAATGTCCGTTGAATCATAAAATAATGATTGTGGTATGGTATATTTGTTATTGTATTAAGATAATTAAAAGATAAATCGTACCTTAAATTCCACTTAACTTATCTATCATCATTTGAAGCTGCACCCATTTTACATGTATTGCTAACACTTTATTTAAATTGGTTTGATAAAGCTAACACGGTTAATTTTAGGGGAATTACTTATTTTTGTTATTAGAAAAGAAAAAAAACCTAAAAAAAACGATGAATTTGACTATGGAAATTCAAGGATTCGCTTGAAGAACGACAATCATTTGGGCAAAAAGGTTATAAATTATTCAATCAATTATAGGAAAGAGATGGATGGATTGTGTGAAAGGTGACGGTCAAGAAGGGAGAGATATCTGAGATGACGGATAGAGTTATTTGGAGGATGAAAACACGGTGTGCCGAACCTACAGAAGTAGGATAAATAGGGGAGATGATATTGAATTATTAATATCTTTTTGTATTTTTCTACCTGATTTTCCTTTAAATTACATCCAGGTGATTTCGTAGCGACGTGTGAGATGTGTGTTAAGGCCAGCACGGGCGGCGGTGCGCTGCCACTCTCGTATTCGAACGGTTTCTGCAACCCTCTGCGTCTCTCGTTCAATGGTACACGATACTTATGGGAATGGACCACCAGTTCATCCATCTGTAATAAGCAGACATATATCTATTAATATCCAATTCCCATCTATTCCATTGGCACTTATTCAAAAAAGGAAAGGATGGAAAGTGGCACTTGACTTTGCGGGGCAAGGAATGTAGAGGAAAGAGATTTCTCTATTTTTTCCTTACATACTTATACATAAAAAGGGTACATAACCATTGGGATTTGTAACTGCTTGTAGTTGGGACACCGGTCACCTCACTATTGTTGATGTCAGGTGGCTACTCATGTACCTTACTGTACCTTACTTATTTAAAAAAAGCAATAAACTAATATGAAACCCTGTGTCCATAAGTTGTTATAAATGAAAATCTGTTGTAAGTTTGTATTACGTGCAATCTACGCGGCGTAGAGATACGTTCGTAACTAGGATTTTTACAGTGTATTTCAATAACCCCTTACCTTTCTACCGTTAATGAACCATGTGATATGGGGCGCAGGGAGAGCGGGCGCGGTGGTACAATTCGCACGGAGAGTCTCACCGAAGCTGATGTACCGTGTAGGGAAGTCGATTCTTGGGTGATGCTTTTGTGGATCTAAACAAGGTAAATACAAAACATTTTATTAAACAATATTGATACCGAGAAAAAGCCGACGATCGTAATCATTGATCTATGTTTGTTTTTGTAAGTTGCGGGTACACTTTTTAAAGTGATAATAAATTAGATAATAAATTGTCTTTGGTTTGGATTACTTATAAATACGTCGTTATTAATATCTGTCTATGTTTTAACATCTGAAAACATTGTATTTGTTTGCTATACAGGCACTTCTTATGCAGTAATAGAATATGAGTAGAAAGTATAATATATGTATGTTCCTCAATAATGATTGAGGCACAAAATTAGTATGTTAAGTTGTAGACTTCTTTTTTATATCATAAGGTGGCAAACGAGCAAGCGGCCACCTGGATCCGCGAAAATGGCGAAGCGACCGCTGCTCAATAGACATTCGCAATAGCGGATGCGTTGCCTACCCTTGATCGACGGAGGAGAAGACACACAGAAAGAGGATATTTCCCCCCTTCTATTCGTGTCCTACACCGTCTAATCCGCTTTCTCTTCCTATCCATTTCGTACAAGAAAAAGGAAATCTTGTTAAGTTAACGTGTCGTTTTCTTTTTAATTATATTTTCCTGTTATTATATTAAAATACGCACAACCATCTATGTAGATAATGCTATATTATCTCGTCTGTAAATCTTCTTACCAGCTGATTACGTTGTAATAAATTGTTTAGTCATAAGTCAGAGTTACAAGGGCGTCGCAAGCAGAATATCTTTCTCATTCGAAGTAGTTTTTATATCTATTTTGGATTAGGGAATGGGGGACAGTAATATGTTACTAGCTTTTTGTTAAATTCGAGATATTAAACTGTTAATGATTTTATTTTTTTTAACAAAAACACCTTTACAAAAAAATTTGCAAAAGACATTGTTTGATTATTGTATAAAAGAGGGAAGCCCAATATAGTTGTTATAAAAACTCAAACAATCTAATGGTAAGTGTGATGTTATCAGAAAGAAATCAAATACATACATAGTAAGTTGACAATTTATTAACTTAATGTTGATCTGAGTAGTTAGTACTTAATTGTAAAACAATTGCATTGCTAAGTCTAATTGGTGTTCACTTGTTATCCTTCTTGAGATGTACGAACTTGCTAAATCTTTCCTCAGCCTAGGATTTATGTTTCCTCGACTTGTGATTTATCTCTCCCTCTTTGCTACAAAACTGTTTGGGAAATGTTTTTCTGTCATTGAGATTCAGAACGATACACGTAACGATTTTTGCCGGTAATAAATTACAAAATTTGTTGCTGTATTTGTGGAAATAAAAGGGTTGCTCTGTTTGATTTTAATTATTTATTTGCACGTTATTTTGCATATTAATGCGGTGGGAATTTTGCAGTCATATTAATTTCTGTTGCCGACAAGCCTTAATTTAAGCTTTTGAATAGTTTTGTTTTCTCATTTCGTTTGTATACATATATCATATATCATACTTATTAATCACATGTGTCGGTGTATCCAGTCAATGAAGGAAGTCACTCTCGCGAAAGCCGAAGGGAATCCTAATTCGCAACCATCTCGTGCCACAAATGAGCTAACACCGATAAGTACATCTTGACCCTGGAACGAATAAGTCAAAGGGCCACCGGAGTCACCCTGACAGATACCTACTCCACCAGCACCGTTTGTGCAAATAT